GAAAGGAATGGAGATGCATGGAAGGAAAATGCTGAGAGGGATCCTGGAAAAGAGCTAGGGGGCATTGTGTTCACACCGGAGAGTGGAGTCCCCAGGGAGTGTTGATGTGGTGGAAAGAGGAGCTCTGGCAAGCAGGCTACTACTGAAGGGACCAGACCCTCACCCAGCCCCCTGCTTTAGCAGCCATGATAGGCTGCAGAAAAGACCCAGCAAGACAAAAGACTCCTGACTCAGCAAAATGTACTGAGCTTCCTGACCTTGCCTGACTAGGAGGTCAGATACTCTCCTCGAGGCAAGGAACCAATCAGAATTTAGCTGGAGGACTCTTGATATGCTTTAAGTGTAACAGTGACATGCAGAGCATAGCAACTGCCCTGGGAGGGCCTATAGGACATAGCAACCAGTTGACAGGACAGGTTGCCCAGGCCCGGAAGCATACCATGCATACTCCAGATACTCCCCTTACACACCCCAATACATTCCCCACCTCAAGGTCCCACCCCCCTCCCCACCCTGGGTCCTTCTTATTCCATTTTGTGATGAATGGATGAAGGGCCCGAGTTAAGACAATTAACTCTTTAAACAATAAAAGACTCTTTGCTTTTGCTTCAGAATGGGTCTCTTGGTGATTTTGGAGTTCAGAATTTGGGCACAACACTACAGGGTGATGAGTAGGCCTGAGACAGTGTAAGGGAAGGCAGGAGGGATGGTGAGCATCTTCCACCCAAGTCTACTGTGCCTCTTGTAGTCCCTTATAGACAGTGTTTCTGGGGATTGGGAACTGACACAAAGGAATGGAGATGGACTGGATTAGTGGAGCTGGTAGGAGGAAAAGAGCTCATCTGGGTCGGTACCAGAAGGTGGAGTCTCAGATCCAGTTCTTTGCACATCTTCACAAGGTACAAATCCAAAGTGGAGCTGGTAAGATGAAAAGCACTCACCTTCAGGTTTAACAATCTGAGTTTGATTCCCACGACTCCAAGTTGTTCTCTGACCTCTATGTGCTCAATGCAGCGCACAAGCATGTGTGTCCATAGCCAAATAAATGTAATAAAATATATGTTATAGATTTGTATATGGGTGTGGTTGTTTTGCCTGCGCATGTCTGTGTACAGTATGTGTGCAGTGCCTGCAGAAGCCACAAAAGGGCAACAGATGGCCTTGGAATTGGAGTTACAGATGGTTGTGAGCCACTATGTGAGGGCTGGGATTTGAACTCCAATCTTTTGGAAGAACAGTCAGTGCTTTTAATGGCTGAGCCATATGTCCCACCCCACAAAAAGTGTTTTTTGAAGGCTATAACAAGAGTTCTCACACATCTATGGGAGTTTCTGGACTCTCAGTGCTTTTCTGGACTTAGCACGGGCCCCTATGCTGTAATCTTAGTTCTTGCCTCAAAGAAATCTAGACCAGCCACTTCTTCAGACCTGATAAAAAGGACAGGCCAAGAAGCAACTAATTATATGGACGAAGCACACAAGGAAACAAACCAGAGAATAAGCCAATGGGGAAAATTTGATAGAACAGAAGGATAGCAAGCGCCACTAATCATGTTTTTAGAAGATGTCAGAATTGATTGTCGTTGTTTAGCGGTTTCCTTCTAGAATGAAACGTTCCACCCTGCAGAAAAGCTCATAAACAACTCAAAATAGCTTCGGGATGTCCCTGAAGCCAATCAGATTCACTAGGTCCCTCGCTCCCCAAATGTGTGTGAGTGTGTGTGTGTGTGTGTGAGTGTGTGTGTGTGTGTGTGTGTGTGTGTGTGTGTGAGTGTGTGTGTGTGTGTGTGTGAATGATGAATGCACCTCTCAGACAAGCCAAGCTACAAGGAAGACTCTCAGACAGTCCAGCTGCCTGCAAGAAGCAGATAGCTACTTTCCAACAGGTTCGAAAGGACACTCTTCAACCTGTTGAGCTGCCTGCAGGCTGCGCAATGCACTCGGCTTCCTAGCTTTTGTGACACCCATGCTGTGGTGGGCTGTGGGAGACCTTTTAGGGTGAGTGGGGGGTGGGTTTCAGGTTCCAAAGAGGATGTGTGGAGTTTGGGGTCAAGGAGGAGACACAGTCTGGGGGTGAATAGGGAAGGCTTCCAGCAGCCTTTAATTGAGAAAAGATTACACCTTTTATACTGTATAGCTGCACATAGGATTAAATGGGAGACAAGGAGCATGTGAGCTGGGGTGTGGCTTGAAATCAGGAGTAGAGGAATCTAGCCTTGACCTTGACAGTAGGCAACACTCACGTGTTAATAGAGGGCCACACATTCCTCTTGTTGCCAGAGATGAGGAGAGAATGTTATGAGGAGAGAATGTTTGCTTTAGCAAGCAGGAACTTTCCTCAAGCCCCCAAGGGAATGGGAAAGGAGACCTTATCCAAATGTCTGACCTTGGAAAGGACTTCTGGGGAGCAAACATTATACTGCAGTTTCTTAGTCTTACTATGTGGACCTGTTCCCTTCATAACAGTCCCAAAAGGGAAGGTCCTGGTGTCTTAGTCTTTTCCCATCATACCGTACCATTCTGATTTCTCTGAATTTATTATCTGAACTCTTGCCCTTAATGACCTCAGGCTTCCTCAGGCTCTGGATCTGAATTGTAGGTATTTCATCCTCAGGGTCAGGTGTGTCTGGTAAATCTCTAACTTTTCTGTTCTTGGTGTAGTTAGGAGGGCACAATGGGATTCCTGGTTCCATGGTGGCAGGAATTTTTTTCCCGGAAGAATTATTTTGTTTAGAGAGGCTATTATTGTACACATTTTTATCCTTTACCAAAGCCCATACAAAATTTCTCAAAGGGAAAGGCATTAATATTGGGAATCATTAAAAGTGAAAGTAAAAAGATGCTGGAGAATTGTGGTCTGCAATATCGAAATGCTGGAACTTTGTCAAGCAGCAATGTGGTCCATGCTAGTCTGCTTTGGTGATGCAACTGTTTTTGAGTCATTTCCACACCTGTGAGTCACTCCTCACTCATATTCCTTTAAATAAAACTCATTGGTTCACCAAATTAGTTCACTTCATTGGTTCACCACTGTTGTGCCAGGTTCTTGGAGCCCCAGAGACTAACCCAAGGAGTCGACACTCTGATACAAAAGCAAAAGGTTTCTTTTTATTGCTCAAGCTGGCCAGCTTGGATCTCACTGCTGCATGGTGGCAAATGAGATGCTAACCAGCCAAAAAGAGAAGCTTTTAAAGGGGCAGACCATAATGTTGAAGGCCACAAATTTCAGAGTTTCCATGATTACTTAAAGTCATACAAAGTAGAGAGTATAAACAGTAGCTGTATATTTTAAGTGAGATACATTTGAGTGAGATAAGACAGGGCATGGGCTTGCAGGATTACAGGGTCACAGGGTCTGTCAGTTATTCCCTGGGCTGGGGGATCTTTATGACCAGCAATTAGCAAAGGAATTTTAAGAAGAGTGGTGGACAGTTACCTCCCCTTCTCTGAGAGCAGGGGATCAGGCACCAGCCTTGGCACTCCTGATTTAAGGAGTTAAATTTTCCTTTACTATTAGAAGTTCCTGCTGGGTGGTGGTGGCGCACACCTTTAATCTCAGCACTCGGAAGGCAGAGGTAAGCGGATCTCTGTGAGTTCGAGGCCAGCCTGGTCTACAAGAGCTAATTCCAGGACAGCCTCCAAAGTCACAGAGAAACCCTGTCTCGAAAAAACAAAAAACCAGAAAAACCCCAACCATTAGAAGTTCCCCTTTCAGAGCCTAAGTTTTAAAACTTTTATTAATTTTAATTTTTGGTTTCTCAACCACATTCTGGTGGTGTCCATGTTTTGTTTGGTCTGAGGTGGGGCCCCTTTCTGGGGTGAGCAGATGTGTGTGAGGTGCATCTGCACAGGGAGACTGTCACACAGGCGCCCACGTCCCAGATTTTAGGGTAGCCACAACTGCCAAGCATCCAGGTGTACTTATTTAATGTGTATGTGTTCTTCTTCGTGCAGAGGTCAGAGGACAATTTGGAGGAGTCAGGCTTATGTAGTGAGTGCCTTTACCACTGGAGCCATCTTTCTGGCTCCTAATATTTTGTTCAGTTTTATTTAATTAAAAAACGTTTATTATCCGATTTTGTGTAAGAAAGCTTTGTTGTTGGCCCTCTCCTGCCACCTTGTGGTCCAATAAAAACTGCTTGGCCTCTACACTATGGATCTCTGGGAAGAAAAATTTTCTGATCTTTTAGTTGGCAGGAAGGTGAAGGGTTGGAGGTCCCTGTGTAGTAGTGCATAGGATCCAAGCTCAGACTCATTCTTCTGTACGCTGGGCCGAGATTACACTCTGTGTCCGTATGCTAGCAGTGGCGGGCGACGTGGACAGTATTTGCGAACACAAATCCCCGTAACCTCCACTCCACGCCCAGAGGGGGTCTCACTGTGTAGTCCGAATGACCTGGAAGTTGCTGGCTTTGAACTTACAGAAATCTTCCTGCCTCTGCTCCTTGAGTGCTGGAATTAGGGGTGTATACCACCACGTCTGGATACGTTCTCTCTTTAAACTGCATTTTACACTTTTTGCACGAGTCCACGCGGGAGTGCCATAGTACTTTGTTGGAGTTCAGAAGACGACGTGAGAAAATAGGTTTTCCACCTTGTGGGTCCTCGAGGTTCAAACTCAGGTAGTCAGGCTTGGCAGCAAAGCCATCACACCGGTCCAAACTATTATTTTGACATTCACAAATTCATATGTAAAACCAGCTATTTGACTCTTTCCCTTCTGGTTCACAGGCTCAGAGTTGGCAGCTGAGGCCAAGAGCCACTCAGGCTTCCAGTTTATCCATTGGAAGGAAGGCTTCTGAGTGCAGAAAGACGCCGCTATCCGATCCGGACAGCCGTGAATAAACTCTGCAGCGAGTATGCTCCTATCCTAACTCCAGCAGGAACGCTGGTACAATACACCCACCAAAAGCCGGCCGGGAGCCCCAGATCCTGTTCCGGCTTTACCCGTCACTCAAGGCCACGGGGGCGGAGCCTGGGTGCGGAAGAGGACGCTGTCCAATGAGCACGCGCGGGTCGGCTCCGTCGCGGGACCTGGGTCTCTCGCTGCGCCCCCTGCGGGGGATTTGACTGGGCCGCGGGCCGCGGGTGCCCCGCTCCCGTGGAACGGTGACGTCACGGCCGGCCGCCGCCAGGAACCGGAGCCTGCAAGGCCCGCGAATGGTGAGTGCGGCGGGGTCTGGAGGTCCCGACGTCCGGGTGGAGTAGCTGTTGGACCCGGCTGGGGCGGGGCTCGGGCCGCCTCGAGCCAGCTAGGGGTCCGTGTCACGGACGTCTCCGGTGCCGCTCGGCTGGCTGGTGTGCTTTTGGGCTGG